CAATACTGTTATTTCTCAATAACCTAAAAATAGTTCCCAGTAAGATGCAACCACTGTTTGGAAATAAAACATTAAATCTGATTATCAAAATAAAAACTTAGATTTACTACGAAAAGATAATTTCAGCACTTCTTATTGGACAATCATAAGAATTATAATTTTTGTCAATTATAATTTTTGATTTTAGATGGAAATTGAAGTTCAATTAGAAATAATACTGCACTTTAATTGGGTAATGAGTATTCTAACCTTAAAAGCATACACAGAGAAGGCAGAAACAAAAAACCAATATTTTGGTATTCATTAAGTAAGAACATAGAGTAAAACCAAGGAACATTAACATCAGTTTAAAAATTTTTAGCTTTTATCATCACTTTGCCCCTTCCAGCTGTTACTCTGCTGTCTTTTTTTTTTTTTTTGTATGAAGACCAGAGGAAGAAACAACATTCCCTGATTCTTCAGTTTCCAGTCATTATCTCTTTCTTACATAAGATGAACCAGTAAAAAAATCAAAACCAGACAAAGCAGCTGTTGGACATACTCCCTTCTACACTTGCAGTGAGGCTAGAATTATCTAGAACTGGCTTATTATCAAAACAAACTGGACTCATGTGCTTCAACCAAACCACTTCCCTAAATATATTGGTTTTCATTAAGGGGAGTGACAAAATACGTTTAAATGTGCTAAGGAATTAGTTCAAAATGTCAGATTTGCCGGCAAGAAAAAGGGGAATTCAAAATTAGGCTCCTTCTCCCTCCCCAAAATCTATTTTAAAAGTTTAACAAATAACTTACGATATAAAATAATCACATGAAAAAGAAGACTTTTGCTCATGGCCACTGGACTAAAAAGCCTCACAGCTAAATTGATTGGATTTTGTTTTGCAAAAAGAAGAGAAAAAGCTCCCTGGGAGAGGGAAAGATTTCCCTATGCCCGTGCCCATGGTCACATCCATTTAAAAGGAGTTGATTAGCTCGGTTCAATTGGCCAATTAGTGCTATATCTGTAACACTTGTGACTGATCCTGTGCTTGCATTATTTCTTAGGGCCATTAGTTTAACCCTCATGGTAACACTTTAAAGAGCAATGAGCAGAGTTAATCCTGGAAGGAATCACTGCCTCCTTCAATGATTTCTTTTTTAGGCTGTGCATTCTGTGAGTTTTTCTGGCCCAGCTGCAAGGAAGCATCTCCATGTTCTCCCCCTGCCTGTCTGCCTGGCATTCCCTACCTGGACATTTCTTTAGGAACCTAATGACAGGCGCTCTAATTTACTTAAAAATATAATTTGAACAATTCAGTGCTTAACAATTAATGGAAGCACGTTTGGAATGTGACATAGGGAAAAAATAAACACTAATATTTATATATATGTGAGGGAAAGCCTATGTCTATAAGACATACCCCTACCATTTTTCCATACTGCTGTGAAACACCACAGCTTTTTCAGCACCATGTCCTCATTCAAAGTTACTGGGCACTAAAGTCAGCATTGGCCTCCTTTCAAAAGTTGCTTTGACACCAAAGATACTCTCAAAAACCCACAGTGGTTTCAGACAAAGCTTTACAGTATAATGGACAGTTTCACAGTCCTTAGATTTTAAATTTTAAAATTTTTTTTATGACTTCAAGACAAGTTTCTTTTTTTAAACCAGAGGCCATGGCTCCCTGTGCAGAGAGCAAAGTGCATGCTTGATGTGAAAACGTGCACATTACTCCAACTCCCGAGGAGGTGGGGAATCCTAAATGGATTTCATTCAGTCAGGCAACAAAAAGAAAAAATATACCATATAATAAAAAAATAAATTGTACATTTGTATGTATTTTCCCAGGTCAAGAGATCACAAAAAGGATAAGAAATGCCAGAGCATCACCTGCTCCAGCACAGAGAGGTGAGACACGCAGAGGACTCGCAGAGCCATTTGTAATAAATGTGCACTCAGCATCAGAGGGGAAGTGTCTTCACTTCCTGACTTGATTGGTTTCTTCTGGAAACAATGACAAAACTGAAGGTGCTATTTATGGCTTTCTGCCACCCATTGCCAGGAGAAATAGTGACTACAACCTCTAAATACATCAAGACAGTGTTCATCTTCTCCAATCCACTTGATATCTACCTCAGCATTACCACTGCAGTTCCTCACATCCTTGAAAAGGATTAAGTGACAAACAGCAAAACCTTGCAGGGTTCCCCACCACCACCATTATTTTCAACCAATGACCCAATTCTGCAAGACAGCACCTCTTGAGATATGCTGAGAGGGCCCTCAACTCCCAATAAGCCAAAATGGGAGAGGAGGTCACTCAGCCCTGCATCAGTTACTCTTAAAGAAAAAATAATCCAAGATGCATCTCTTCTCTCACTGATCAGTACTCTCAGAGAATCTCAAAGCTGGTTTAATAGCTGCATCATTTTTAGATAACATCATATTCCACTAATCTCCTTCTCAACTCATCTGTTTGAAGAAAGAGATCATTTCTGTAGTGAACAGAAGTGTCCTCAAGTGTAACAGCAAATAAACCGGTGTAAATGAAGTGCCACAGCAATATAAACAATGACCTTGAAAACCAGAAAACTGCTGCTCAGGATGACTCTAGGGACAATAATCACATTTTAAATGTCCACATCGTCTGAACAAATTGCTGAGATTACCTCTGTAGCTACATCTCACCTGCACTGTAGGTAAAAGCATCTGCAACCTGTCCATGTCCCATATCCCAATGGGTGGAAAAAAAACAAAACATAATATATGGCTCCCACTAACTTTAAGTGAAGAGAAAACTCTTACTTGTACATTATTTACCACAAGTAATCCATGCAGCAAAAATCTTGTGTCACTTAAGGATGCTCTGTCTTATAAAACAACTCTTGAAAGAGCAGAAATCCCAGTACCAGAGCGAGGCATTACAGAAGAGATGGTTGTGCTACTGCAAACCTCACTGAAGCCCTTCCTACTTCAGCTTTTAACATTACTGCTTACCTGGTTATCCTAGCAAACAAGGCTCATTAGATCAATGTGGGATACCTGCATGTATGCAGTTTTTTGCCTCTCCTCTCAGGACTCTTCCCCAAACCAACAAAACATGACTGAGGGTCTGGGGTTTCTGTGACACCAAGATCCAACAAATGTTGTACTCGGACGGTTGTTTTCACAGGGAAAATAAATCTGAATATCACTGTCTCCGTTGAAAGACGAATGAAGACATCCCAGACAATCCACAAGACATAAAGGAAGGGAAAAAGAGGAGGGGCAGACAGATGAAGAAAGAGACCTGGGGACCTGGGCTTCCTCGGTTGTTTGGCACCCAGGCCTTCTTTATTTGCACAGCTTCCAGCTGAACACTCCTCAGTGGTATCTGTGAGTGACAATCCAACACTCCCAAGCCAAACAAAGCAGAGAAGTACCCTGAAGACTTATGGCTTTTCATTTTCAAAGGTTATTAAAGAATTCCCCTATCACTCAGGAACCACCAAGCAGCTTGGAATTAGTTAAAATTCACTAATTTCCCAGAGATGTGGAGAGTCACCTGGAGAGTCCCAACTGATAGGCACAATATCTTGTTCCAGCCTAAGTTCACACCCTCCTTTCTCACAGGGGAACATTTAAACTATTCAAACATGTAATTCCCCTAAGAGATGCCCTATTAAGAGTGCAGAGAAAAATCCATGTTGTAATGCTTTAATTCTGCAGACCAGCCTTTACTAGGAATACTTTAAAAAAACATAATTTCACCCATAAATAGGGGCAAAACAATGATGAGAATTGTTACTATGATTATGATTATTATTACTGCTATTATTACTATTGCTACTATTATTACGACCACCACCAATCCAAAAAGATCGCCAGCAAAGTCTGGGAAAAAAGGTGGAAAAATCAACACAGATACAAAGTGAACAGAAAATGTGTGTCTCATATGCACAAAATCTAACTTTAAAAAATGTATTTATATTCTGTACCCTGGGAACTAAAACTATTTTAAAATCAAAAGAGCATTAATTAGCATCTCAATGCTTCTTTCATAGGCTTTATCAATATAAAGAAAACTTGGCACAATGGAAAGAATTATGGATTAAAGTCAGAAAAATATATAATTACAGTGAAATATCATTACACTGGTGTCATGGCTTTAAAAATCATAAGATGCTAATATAAATTTAAGATAAAAATTTACTCTCATTTTTGACTTTTTCTGCATTTCAAGGAAGGGAACTGCTAAATGTCACATTCAGGACATTTTCAGGATTTCACACACTGACAGAGTGTTTGCCTTTAGCATCATTTCAACAAGCATTTGAATCAAAACAAAAGAAAAAAATCAACTCCTTCCCCTTTATTCTATCCCTTGACTTTTCAAGTAAGAAAGTAATCCTGAGAGGGAGAACCCCCCCATGACCTTAAAAGCTTTAAATAACACCCACTTCAAGTTTAAATATATGACCTAAGACTTGACAGCCACTTCCCAAAAGCAGAAGGAAAGGAGCACAAAGTCCAATCCACTACCAGGAGGAACACTGATGCTCCAAGAGACCAAAACAAAGATGATACATAAAATCTTCTAATCATCAAGCAAGATTAGTCAGATGAACACAAAAGAAAGCTGCTATAGCTCCAGAAAACATCTGTAACTTGCACAGGCTACATTGTTTCAAGTCAATGACCAATCCATAAAACACAGAATTGCACACTTAAAAAGTCAAGAAACCAAATCCCAAGACAATTCTGTAGCATTAAGGCTGCCATGTCATTATAGGAACAATGGATGTAATGCAAGCCCTGTGGTTTTAGACACTGGAAGCTCTCTCCCCAAAATGCCCCTTACTAAGCACCTCCAGGTTTAATTTCCCCATGCCCTTAAAGGACACTGTAGTGGATTTAACATGAATCATTTCACTGTCAGCGTGGTCATGCAATTAAATTGCCACGTGCCTCAAGTGCATCACTTGTAGGACAATTACTTAAGTCAAGCCAGTACCAAATGACTGTATTGATGTCTGCATCACTGCATGAAGATCATGCCACGGCCAAACTTCACAGCTGGAAGCACAGCAATGATGTTAAGGTGAATTCCAAATACGGTAGATTCAAAAGGCAACCACAACTCAAAGGTTGTGGTCTACAGCTGTCACTGGTCTGCCATGAAACGACAAAAAAAAATCCCCTGAAAAGTGTTGCCAAAACATGCCATGGCACATGTTGTCTTTGCAGTACTCATTAACATCTTCCTCATGAGGCAGTGAAAGGGCTCCCAGAATATAAAGATCACACCATGCAAACTCTATCAGTCATTAACATGTCAGCTTACACTTAATCCACCTTTTCCACCCAGCAATTGCTTAGGAGATTTGCCAGGTTTAAGCATCAGATAAGATAACTCAATGCCGGCAAATTAATAGTACAGGGGGAAAAAAAACAGCAAAGGAAAACCCATAAAGATCAATAACGACGGAGATCTGCCACTGTTTCCCTGCTCTCTGCCTTGCACTGCTGTCTCCCGTGAGAAGGAGAGTGTCAGCTCTAACGTGACAAGATCCTGAGGTGTCCCAGGGTAAGTGCCTGCCACAGACACACCAAACAACGGCACAGCCACTCTCCCAACACTCCCGTGCCATCTCCTAACTGGGAGGCATTGAAAAAGGCAGCGAGAGCAGTTTTATTTGGTTGTCCATCTTGTCCATAAGCATCTTCCCAGCACAGGTTCTGGGAAGAACCACACTTCAGTCTCATCCCTCAATCACGGCAACAATTCATGAACCAAATGCAAAAGAGGAAGTGGCTGTATTGAAGGCAGGAAGGCCACTAAGTCTTCTCCCTAGAGATGATCTTTCAGATAGACAGATACTTTTAAACTTTTTTTTTAAATTGTAAAATCCATGTCAGTACCGCCTACCACACAATAAACCTAGGCTTTCAGTTAATTGATCTATTTTTATCTTCACATTGATTTACTTAGTCCTAACAGTTGGCTATTTTGAAACAGTAATCACAGACCATAGCCAGACCAGGAATCCATCCTGCTGGGTGCTGTAGATGCTACAAGTTACAGCCCCACTCCTGAAGGAACAAGACTCCCTGCCATTAACAACTTCTCCTCTTACAAATCAGATGTTTCTGACCAGTTCACACACATCGCAAACCTTACTTAGGTTGCAACAGTGGTATTTCTGAAGTTACAAGGTGGATTATCATTTTCTCCAGCATGAGTTTTGGTGGTGCACCTTATATTCTGCCTCACGGAACTGTTCGCTATGGTAACCTCCTGGGCTACAGACAGGAGCCAGTTCCCATGAAGGAAGGAAGGTACAGAAAAGAAGCAGCAAGTTAGGCCTTTTCTTCTGCTGCAAAACCCCTTCCACCAGAATTTCTGCTGTCAGAGTGTGTAAAACTGACAGACGCGAGGGTAACCATGTACAACCTTTTTATAATGGCAACAAGTTTCTCCAAAGCAGAAATAATTGTTTCGCTGAAGCACGCATGTGACTGTAAAACAGACATCACTGGCCTATTTCTCAACAAAAAAGGGCCTCGCCGAACTGCAATAGCGAACGTAGTTACAAATTCACAATTAACTGCCCGCGCTGTTTTTCTTCTCCTTTCATTATTTCCACTGTGTAGGGGGTGGGGGGGGCTGGGAGCAAGTTTGCAAAAGCCACCGACGGAAAACTTGCTCAGTCCTTCCGATGCGGGCATTCCGCCCTCCCGCTTCCAGCCGGCGCTGCCCGGGCGGGAGCCCTCCCGCAGCCGCTGCCCGGCGCCGCTCCCTCCCGGCCCGAAGTTGGCGTCCCGGGGCATCCCCGGCGGCCGCCCGGGCAGTGTCACCGGCGCCCGATTTACGACTTCAGGTGCAGGAGCGGCGGGCAGCGCAGACCGACTCCCCGAGAGACAAAGGCTGCGTGTCGCTCGCCGGAGCGCCGCCGGGCGCGGAGCCGCCGGAGGTGCGGAGCGGCGGCGGCGGGCGCGGCGCGCACACAATGCCCGGCCCCGCGGCAGCGCAGGCCCCGCAGCGCGGGCGGCGGCGCTGCGGGAGAGCCGGCGGCGCGGCCGCGGAGGCGGCGCCCGCCCCTCTCCCCCCACACCCACCCACCCAGCCCGACCGGGAGGCGAGAGCCGCTCGCTGACGGGCCACTTGACGGGGACCGACGCCAGCCGCTGCCCCGGGCGGGACGCGCGCCGCGCCGAGCGGAGCGCGGCCGCGCCCGGCGGGGGTGCGGAGCGGAGCGGCGCGGGGTTTAAAGGTCCCCTTCCACCGCCATTTTGAGGGGGAGGGGGCGAGCGAGAGGCGCTCGGTGGGCTCGGCCCCCCGCGGGCGCGGGCAGGGACCGGCCCGCCGGGGCGGCGGCGCGGCGCGCACAAAGTTCCCGCGGGGGCCGGGCGCGTCCTCGGGCGGGCGCGGGGCCGGCCGTGAGGGCAACTTCGGCCGAGCGCGCCGCGGGACGCCGCGGGCCCCTGGCGGGAGCGCGCAGAGTTGCGCGCGGGCAGTTGCGCGGCGGCGCCCGGCCAGCCCCGCGCATCGCTCCTCGGCGCGGCCGAAGGCGCGTCCCCCCCGCGCTGCCGCCTCCCCGCCGCGCTCCGCCTGCCTCTTCCCTCCTCCTCCTGCCTCGCCGCCTTTTTCCCGCATCCAAACTTCGTGAGCCCGGAAAAACCCTCCGGGCTCCGCGCCCCGCCGGCAAAACGCCCCCAACAGCTGCGCCCCGGGCCGCTCCGCCCGCGCGCGGGCGCCGCCGCCGCCCGCCTCACCTGCGGGGAGTTTTTCCAGCCCTGCGCCGCTGCCGGGGCTCGGGCTCCCCGGCGCTCCGCTCACTGCCTCATTCCAATATGGCACGGCCCGCCAGAGCGCATGCGCCCGCCGCCCGCCCGCCTGCCTCCCCCCTCCCGCCCCTCCGCCCTCCCCTCCCCTCACGGCTTTTCGGGCGCTCCGGCTCCCTCCTGCCGCGGGCGCGCCGAGCCCGCCGCCGCCCGCCCGGCCCCGCGGGGCCCGGCCCCGACCCCGCCCCCGCCGCGCTGCCCCGGGCTGCTGCCCCCGGACACCTGCTCCCGCCGCGCCGGGGGCAGCGCGGGCTCGGCCGCCGGTAACGGGACGCGCCGCCGCCGCGACTCTGCCGGGGCGGGGCGGGCGTCCACGCCCTGCCCGGGCGCCGCGAGAAGGGACGCGGCCCGGCAGGCGGGCGGTCGGTGCCTGCCGCGGGATGCGCGGTCCCGACTCCATCCCCCCCGCCCCGGCGAGGATTTAGCCCCTTTCCCCTCGGAGTGAACTGGCCCCGTCGGCCGGGGCGCGGGGACCGACGGTGCTCCCCCCGCGGGGCCGCGCAGCCGGCGGGGCCGCGCCAGCGCCGCGGTTGGCGGGGAGCGGGCGGGCGGCACCGGCCGTGTCGTCCCCCCCACCCAGGGCGGAGACCGGCGCCCCGCGCACTCGCCGCCGCTGCCCGCGGCGCAGCGAAGCGAAAGAAAAAGGAAGCGGGTTGTGCAACACCGCGCTCCTGCCCGTGCGGCGGGGACGGAGGGGCGGAAAGGGAGAGCCCCCCGCCCCGATCCTCACAGCCGGTCCGCACCGAGGCGGGGGCCGACAACGAGCGGGAGCAGAGCGCGAAAAGCTTTTGCGCTCCCCGGGAGCGCATCCGCCCGCCGGCGGCGGCGGCCGGAGACGGCGGCGGGAGCGCTGCGGCCGCGCTCCGCTCCGCTCGCCGCCGGGAGGGACGCGCTCCCGGGCCGCGGGCTCTGGGCCGGCTCGCCCAGCCCGCGGGCACCGGGGCTTGTCCGTGCGTACGTGCCCTCGCGTGGTGCTGGACACCAGTTGCTACCGACCCGAAATGAATGTTGGAGGCGAAGAGCAGGCGGATGGAGTGAGCTGTATGGTTTGTCTCTGGAGCAAAGAAGTGCCAACAAATAAAGAGAGCGGCAGTGCCGGAACGGCGGGGAGGAAGAACGAATGGAACCATGAACTTGCTCATTACGCATCCAGCGGGCAGATCGCTCGCACCGCTCGCCGCGCCGCGGCACCGCGGAGACGCGCCGGGCTCCCATTACTCCTCAGCGATGCGCTGCGATGCCAGGCAGGACGGAGCCGGCCACGCAGCTCCTCTCGCGGGAGAGATGCTGTTCTCCACGAGGATAAGAAACCTCCGTTTCTCACTGGCTTGAAGTAAAAAAGCGAAGACGTTTCCCGTGGCGCTCGGGAGGGAGCACGGCGCGCCCGCCGCCCGGGACAGCGGGGCCCGCGCCCGGCAGGAGCCGCCCCGGGGCTGGCGGCGCTGCCCAAGGACTGCCCCCGCGGGGCTGAAGCGCTTCTTGCCCGCGGTTCCGTTTCCCGGAGTGCCGGCCCGCCCGCTCCCGCTGCCGTTCCCGCCGAGGGGCGGGCGAGGCCCGGGCCCTCCGCTAGAGGGGGGTCTCGCCATGCCGATCCGCAGGGCCCGCCGAGCGCTCCCGGCCCGGCACCGCGCAATTAACAGTTCAAACGGAACCGCTGCCGCACCGCCTCATTGAGCCCCAGCACACACCGCCCGCATAACCGAGCGCCGCTCCAGGCAGCCCCGGGCCAGCCCCCGTGAGTCCCCCGGAACATCTCCGCGGCCACCGCCAGGCACGGCAGCCGCTCCTCCCCTAAGCACAGCCGCTCAGAAAGCGAGGACTTGTTCTGCAAAAGCCCCAAACTGGTGTGCAAACAGGAAGAAAACCTCGAAAGTCAGGTATCACAAACTTCACAGGCTGACAAGAGCAAGAAGCACGCCCTTCCAGACTGTTCGGCGGTCCTGGAAATGAGTCCTTGGTACGCACAACTGCACAGAGAAAGAAACGTGACCCAATGCAGCACAACAGTCTGATCCGTGAAACATCTAAACGATCTTCTATGTCCAATTAATCGTCAGTCACAGAAGGACAGGTGTTTACAGAACCTTCGCCTGGCCAGCTCCATGATACTTTGTGTCATCTCTGGTGATTTGGAGGTTAAAAGGCACGGAAAGGAAGTGGAATTTTGGTGGACCTTCTGGCATGTTAGCAAACTCCTGAAACACGGGGCTAACACCCTGCAAATACATATTTCATCACATGGGAATTAAATCTCCTTATATCCTTTTTGCAGGAATGGCAATTTGTGAGAAACCAAACACCATTTTATTATCCAGTTTGGAGGATGAGCTAACAAAGCTGCCATCAGACAGCCAAGGTGTCTTACTTTTATCTTCAAGGCTTCTCTAGCATCCACTTTTCTGAAACTAGAAACTTTCTGATTTCCAGTGTAAATGTATTCGCTACCAATTTATATCCATTAGGTCTTTACCATTTTGTCCTTTGAATTAAATAACTTTGCTTCTCTGATACTTACCTAAAATGTCCCTAGAAATAGCAATTAGATCATCCATTCTCAGTCTTTCTGCTTTGCTTTTAATCTTCTCTCCAAATAGGTTTTCCACTCCTTCGGCGTCCTTTTATGCCTTCTACCCTGTGTGCAGTGTTCTAAACAAGGTCTTAACAACTGCCTTGTACCACGATATTAATATCTCACCTCTCCTGAAAATACCTCACTCAATGCATCCCAGAATACATTAGCATTTTTAAGACCACATTACAGTGGCATCATAGTTATCCTACAACCAATAATGTACCTGGATTCCTCCTCTTGTAATCTCACATTTGATGAACCTCTGAGCTCACTCGCCGTTATTCTAATTAATCTTTAAGTGCATGACTTCTTGTTATTACATTCCAACCCATTTCTGGTACTCCAGGCAATAGATCAATTGTGCTAGAGCAGTTTAAGAGTCTATGCCTTAAAAATATACATCTTGTCCTATTTTTAAGATTTACCATTAAGCCTGCTCAGAGGTTTCCCCTTTTCCAGCAGCTCATTCTGCAACCTGTCCACTCTTTTGGCCACATCAGGAAGGTGGCAAATGTTGTCCCTGTAAAGCAGCCTGCTTCTGGGCTTCTCTGAAACATCCTGGTTCCAGACTACCCACAAATTCCTCAGTATGTCCTATTTCTTCAACCAAACATATCCCTGGCAACACATAAATCTCCAAGAACCACAATGGTTCACCTGTTTCCCTATGTCCTCTCACTGTTTTGGCACTTGTTTCTGTTTTGGTGCAGACTGTGGTAGACCATTTCTTTTACAAAACTAAACCAGAATGCTTCATGCAAAATAAGCCACATGCCTTTTAGGAATCTCCTGATCATTAAAAACTACTTTTCCTTGTTTATGTTAAGTGATTAATGAGAAATTCCAAATTTTCCCTAAACTGATCCAGTAAGTCACACATATTGTTAGCATCACACCACCTTTTCCTTGAGAGAGTTGTTCTCTCATGTTAGGGAAAACCTGTTTTGAAGCTGAAGTGTTCAAGCTGTGTGAACAGCATTAGATAATCAGTACCCAGGTTCAAGTGCCAGCCAGTTTCTCTGAGGAGGGTTTTCTGCTCTTTTCAGTGAAACATTCAGTTTGCCTTTGTTTTGCTACATTAATTAGCACCACACTCCTATAGACTGCAAGTGCCAAGAAGTCCCTCTGAACTTTTTTTGTGCACAGACAGCAGGCTCAAGCTGTACATCCCTGCACTGAGAACAGGACTGGTGTGGGTTTGCAGTTCTGTGCTCGACTCAAATGAAACTCATGGAACAGAGCATTCCCCTTCAGTGAAGTGGGGATAATTAATTTACAGGAACACTGTGTCTGTGGGAGCAAAACTCAGAGAAGAATGCTTTGAAGTTACAGGTTGGTTAAAAACTTTTGTCCCTACCTATAGGGTAGATTTGGTTGAGTAAAAGCTGGGAGATGTATGAAGAGCATGTATTTGTCTTACTGGAATTACTATTTGCATCTTATATAGGGAATCCAAGAGTGCTTCTGAAATCCTTGGACCCCTTTTGACCTTCATCTGCAATCCAGCTCATTAATGAGGCAGAAGTTGGTATTTGTGGAGGAAACAAGGCCCTCACAAGAGCTGCAGGGCAAACCAGCAGTGCCCAGGATGCCCAAAGCTGAGACCCAGCCCAGTCAGTCTGACTCTCCACAGAGAGCTGGGCACAGTGGCTTGAACTCATGAATTTTCCATAGCTATAGGGACTTCCTCAGCAAATGCTGTTGATCTTTAGCTGTTAGCTTTGAACTCCATGTCTTCTTCCAAAATGTTCACAGTTCTACTGCAGTGTTAAAGAACATTTGCCAAGGGCTCTTTAACCTTCAATGCTCTCCACAGCTTGTACTTCTGGGACAATAACCAGAGATGTGCACTGAAGTATTCGCAGTTGCCATTTCTGTGGCCAGTGGATCAGACTAACTCTAACCCAAAGGACTAACTCTAACCTCCTGTGGGGGACTGAGTGACATCCCTGGACTTCTGCTTTGCTCTTCCTGTTTTCAGACTTTGGTTGGCCTAGAAATGATGGCAGTTTTAGTGCTGGTGAAAGGCTCAGCTGGCAGCAAAGCATCTGTAGATTGGTCTCTGCAGCACAGGACACCCATCTTCCACCTTCTCCCTACTCAGCTTCTGAGATCTCTTTTATGTTTGACTGATTTTTTCACCTGCATTTTTGCTTCTTTCTCATTTCTCCTGACTGCTGTACATCCTATTTTATTATTTCCTATTAGTGTCTATTGTACCTCACTTGGTTGGTTAGGTTCGTTTTACATTTCAGATTAATTCCCAAAACTATAAAAAGAATAAATTCATGGAAGAAACCTGATTTTTAGCAGCCATGGTGCTGTTCATTTTACATATGTAATTTTCCCTTGCCCTTTGTTCAGTCTATTTAGACTTAGCTTTTCAGAGAGTTTTAATTTCTACTTGTGCAAGAGCTCCCTATATATGAGGTCCAGCATTAGCTGTGTTCCCCAGGTTCATGCCAATAATTAAGATATTAGGATATTTTCCATACTATGAAAATCCTAATGATTTTTAAATTTTTAACACAGCTGAAGACTTTGCATGTGTAAGGCACATCACACAGGTCACAACAGAGACTAAAGCCTGGGAGAGATGAGGAGAGAAACTATGAGTAATCTTGCAGTTTTCCTAAATTATAGGCAGACGTGCTTGATGCCCTTTCCCCAGCTCACTGTGTACCAAATAGGAACTTACTGCTAACTCTGAAGATCTGTGATACCCAATAAAAATACAAGAAGCTCTATTCCTCCCTAATCTAGTTCCTTCCAGTCCTCGCTTTCTTATTTTTGGTAAAAAAACCCTTTTCCTAGGCCTCTGTGTGTCTCCTGCTGCCTCTGGAAGCTGTGTGAGATGGCACAAGAGAAACACCCCACCCCATAAGAAACAGAGAAACAGTCCCAAAGAGAGCCTAACAATGACCTAACAAAAAGCCATCACCCAGCTCTGAAGGTAAAGCTGTACTGGGAACACTTCTATTACTGTTTAAATACATTTCTTTTTTTTCTTTGGCATCAAAGAGGATGAGAAAGTTCCAGAGGAGAGAAAGGAATTTTCTGTCACCTTCTTCCAGTACAATTTTTGTAGTAGGCACCTGTATAACTGTCATAGAGGACTGAAATACTGTTTGTGCTTGTGGCAGGCAGAACACATGAACATTTAGGCACCACTTGCTTTTTCATGTCCCCATGGTTTTATATCTTTGCAGTGTGGGCTGTCCCTGTGTGCACATTACTGCAACAGAACCAAAGTGGGCTGCAAAACAAGGAGAGCCAGGCCCAGGAAATTCAGAATATAAATGAAGCAGAGGGGAAGGAAGTGTGGTCACACAGCTGGGAAAAGCTGAGTATAGAAATACTATGAGAAGATACTATGAGAACAAATATTCACCTTTAGAGAAAAACAAAGCTCCTCTGTTGACATGATATTAACTGTGCTCTTTTATGGTTCTCCTGTTAAGATTTCTACCCACTTCCCAGCTTCTCATACAATTTAAAATAACCTCTGTACAGGATTATTTACATCAACATCCACTGCTGAAGTACCCTGGACTGCAGTCAGGCCATACCCTTCCAACTGTTAACTTTCAAATACTGCCCATATTGTCAATATTTCACTGTATTGCACTGTGATACCACCAAC